GGCAGCAATATGGAAAACAGGACAACAACATGAAAAAAATAGATAGTATGGGAAGATCAAACAACCACTTTAGGAAGACCAAACAGCAGTAGGAATATGAGAAAACATCAAGAATTTTCAGCCAAAAGTAGGGAAATTCAGCAAACAGCAAGGAAAATGAGAAGTCACACAAGAAAAAATATAGTATTTTTTGCTTACATCAATGATACAGACTTCAATATATTTTCTATTATGACCTACAAAAAAATCTTTTAAATCTCACAACAACAACAACAACATCAAGCCATTATCCCACTACATGAGGTCGACTACATGAATCTTTTTTCTTCATTGTGTCATGTTAAGGGTCAAATTCTCATCTAAACCTAATAAATAAATTCCTTTAAATCTCTCATTTAATAATTTTTCATTTTTATATCTACTTGATATATTTACTTTAAACAATATTTTATAATTTTAATGCATAAAATTTATCAAAATTCGTAGCTTTATCTTATTTATTCTATATATCTTTTTTCTTCATCATTATTATCAAAACTAACATATAGATTATCAGTTGTAGTTTTTACTTTACTCATTATCATCTTTACCTGACTTAAAATTGAGTAATATTAAATTTTAACCCCATTCAAAAATTTAAATTTGTTTCATGCCTCACAAGAGCTCAACACCCCCATCCTTAGCTTGAACCTTTAATCAGCTTATTGTTTAATTCAATATGTTCTCCGACTATATATCTCATTGAGCGTGTTGATATAATTAGGATAGATACCATTTTTGGCACTTGAGTTGTCTTACACATCATGTCTATTGAATAGTGTATCTCGTTGTAACAACCCATTATTGTTATTATGTGTCAATTTATATTTTATTACCATCATTACAAGTCCTAATTTTGCATGAAAAGTTCTATTTTGGTTGGACATAAATTAATCAACTCTTTGAAAAAGTAATGTTTAAAATTGTGCACTTTGAGGGACTTTTTGATGTAGTGGATCGTCGGAAGATGCGACCTGCAAGAAGGATTTGGGTTTTCCCAATCCAGGGAAGAAGAAGGAGAAGCTTTCAAGGCTTTTAAAAGGGGATAATATCATTCAATGCCCTTTTTCTACTACAATGCACTCATATTTATAAAACTAAAAGAGTTTTCTAGAAACTAGATAAGATGTTCCTAAGGAGAACAATTATAGCTTAAAATGCACCGCATCATTCTCCCCTTGCGTAAAAAGAGCTCGACTCCGTTTGAGACTTGTTGATTAGAAAGGAGGTAAGGTGGCAAACAAATTCCTGGATCGAAGACTTTGTTCTCAATATTTCTCTCCTCTGGAATAGTCTTTTGGAAATCCACCAAACTTTCCAATAATATCATGTTGGAAGAAGAAGGATAAGTACTTCCCCCAAGGAAATCTAGGTGGGCAAATGCAAGGGTAGTAATGTGTTGCTGAAAGAGGTTCCGAGTAACATCTGGATTGCCCTCCGAAGTGTAAGTCGACCGAACTTTCTTCCATCCTGCAGGAAATTCTCTGGAAGTGATGGTCTTCCGCTCGGCTGCGTACCTCGTCTCATATTCGGCAAACTTTGCAGTCCACTCTGCTTCAAGAGAAGCACCTTCAGGAGAATGCTGGCTCCAATGGTCTTTCACCTTAAAGTTGGTGGATGACAAATCCACAATTTAGGATCAAATTCCTCTGTCATTTCCTCTTCATACACCTATTGCACGAGATTTGCTTTTCCCTTACCACCATGCTTCACTATAGCTAGAAGCGAATTGTTCCTGTACAAATCAGTTCCATCCTCCATGTTAAGTGCAATCACGTCTTGATACGGCCCGCTGTTATCCATAAGAAGATCTAAGGCAAAATTTTCAACGGAGAACTGAGTGTAATGCTTCATTGCTTGGCCATAAGGGGTGTGTGATAATGCATGGTCAATAGCTGTTTTAAGCCCAGAATATGTGTGATCAACAGTGGAGTAAGAGGACTTAGCTGAAATTTTATCGAATTTCTGTCCAACCCCCTCTAGCCTATTCAAATTTGGTTCAGATTCTTTAGCAACATTTTGTCGAACAGCTTGGGGACGTTGTGTTGTATCTGCCTTGTCAATAGAATTTAGACTATGCATTTTCACACCTGTTGAAGTTGTCAATGCTTCAAAGACAAAAGAGGACTGGGAAGCAGAACTCCCAAAAGAAACAGCAGGTAGAAAGCTTAGAGCAGAGGAAAAGGTCGCAGCATTTCCAAATGAGAATGAATATGTTGAAGGTGACGGTAGCTGATTGGGATGGGTTGCGGTGCCGTTTAGGCCGAGACTCACAAGAACGAGGCAGGCAATTCTGCCATCGGAGGAGCAGGATACGCCGGGCCACCTGCATTGGCCAGATGTTGAATGGTTGCCGGCGAAAAAGAAACTCAGGCGGATACCGACGGGGTCGACTGCGGATTTGCGGGATAGCAGCGTATAAGCGTCGGCTTCGGAGTCTTGCGCGGCGGACGCTTCACTCTTATTTGTTGAGTCATTTTCCTGCTTGAGGGCACCATGAAGGTTGAGGATCTTACAGAGCTTCTCCGGAGAACGGCAGTCGATGCTATTTCTCTCGATCTTGTGTGATATTTCCGCCATTGCTGTGGCTTCTTCAAGATCAAGTGGCTGTGTTGAGCAGATGCTTACCTGGGCGGAAATGACCTGAACGTCTGAAGAAAATTCGGTCTCAAACATGCCAGAGTGCTGAGTGTTTGGATTGGAGTTGTCTTCAGCAGTTTGGCCGTCCGATCCTGGCATAGCATCAGGAGGAAAGGATTCTGTCTGACCACAGTGTGCTTGTCCCGCCCATGATCTATAAAACCTCACTAACCTAATTGTGATAATTAAAAATTACTTTTAAGTCTCAATGATACCCTCCTACCATATAGGACTCCTAAAACAATCCATTTTTTATCATATAAATATCTACATTATATGTCCACATTATATATCCACATTATACTTTTATAATTTTAATGCAAAAAATTGATCAAAATTCGTAGCTTTTATCTTATTTATTCTATATATCTTTTTTTCATCATTATTATCAAACCTAACATATAGATTATCAGGTGTAGTTTTTTACTTTACTCATTATCTTTACCAGACTTAAAATTGAGTAATATTAAATTTTAACTCCATTCAAAAATTTAAATTTGTTTCATGCCTCACAAGAGCTCGACACCCCCATCCTTAGCTTGAACCTTTAATCAGCTTATTGTTTGAGTCAATATGTTCTCCGACTATATATCTCATTGAGCGTGTTGATATAATTAGGATAGATACCATTTTTGGCACTTGAGTTGTCTTACACATCATGTCAATTGAATAGTGTATCTCTTTGTAATAACCTATTATTGCTATTACGTGTCAATTTATATTTTATTACCATCATTACAAGTCCTGATTGTGCATGAAAAGTTCTAATTTGGTTGGACATAAATTAATCAACTCTTTGAATAAGTAATGTTTAAAATTGTGCATTTTGAGAGACTTTTTGAGGCTTATGTCTAACCATTGGAAGAAATAAGTTCCTTGGGATGCAAGTAATAAGGTATAAGTCTACTTCATGGTTTGCATTAAAAATTTTGAAGGATGAGGAAAATCCCTTGATTATTAATTGAATGATAAGTGATTTGAGGATTTGTGGGCATAAGGCCTTTTCTTCTATAGAACATAAAGAGCAAGACTTAGCCTTAATCTACATGTCTAATTTCACATTACCAATCTTGAACATTTAAGTTGCTCAATAATTTTATAACAGATTTTCTTGAAATGGAATCATATTAATGATTATAATGAATAGAAATTTTATTTATTATACTCAGCATTACTTTTAAATATACATATACATTGAAGCATGCTAAAGATGCAAGTAATAAGGTATAAGTCTACTTCATGGTTTACATTAAAATTTTTGAAGGATGAGGAAAATCCCTTGATTATTAATTGAATGATAAGTGATTTGAGGATTTGTGGGCATAGGCCTTTTCTTCTATAGAACATAAAGAGCAAGACTTAGCCTTAATCTACATGTCTAATTTCACATTACCAATCTTGAACATTTAAGTTGCTAAATAATTTTATAATAGATTTTCTTGAAATGGAATCATATTAATGATTATAATGAATAGAAATTTTATTTATTATACTTAGCATTATTTTTAAATATACATATACATTGAAGCATGCTAAATTTCCGAGTAAAATGGTTTAAAAGTTTTAAAAAACATAATGAAATTTTATTTTAGTTCATCACTAAATTTTCAATCAAGAAAGAATCATATTTCTATTCTCATCACTCTTAAAACACCCAATCACCAAGAAAGAAAGAATATATTTTTTTTACTTTATCTTCTCATAATCTTTTTCTTTTCTTCTCTTAAGTAGCACTCAAAGTTCAAATTTAATAAAATTATTTCTTTCATTTCTTATTACTAAAACAACATCCTTAACCCATTGGAGATCTCAATGAGCTCACTTGAACCAAACATCACCATCATGTCTTCACTATTATCCAAAAGAGATGCAATGAACACAATCACACAATCAAATGTCCCATCAAGCAATATTCGCTCGACTGCATAACTCAAAGGGAATGATCAAACAATTAGTCAAACAACGCCAAAACGAATCTTCTCAACCAATCAAAAAGGTTTCTGGTAGGTCAACCAATTGTATGAGCTCAAGATGTTATTGTATCAAAATTAAAGGAAATTGTCGGTGTTAGACTACTAGAAAAACCAGGTATACAATGCATGGGAATCATGTCTTTACCGCCAGACTGAATAGCTTAGAAACAACAAATCAACAAAAATAATTACATTAGCTTTTGATCTAATGATATTTAATAGTCTTTGGTTACAAGAAGATTAGGAGCAAATCAATACCAAGTTAAAAAAATATCTATTCTATTTCACAATGAGGACAAACATAAGGAATCATTTACAAATTTCTTGAAAAATGATAGAGGTACGAACCTGTCTCAGACGCAAAAGCTGCAAAATCTTCTTAGTCTTCGGGTGCATAGCATTAATACTACACGTCATCAATTAGAGGAATGAGTTTTCAAACACAATATATGTTAAAATACTATGTAGCATAAATTCAGACTAAAAGATAAAGAAGAAAAAAAAATTCGACACAACGGCAAAGTTAACATCTGCTTATTGTCATCGTTGAGAATTATGTCAATTAGCCAAATAAGAGATTCTTTAGATCACATGGACGGCAAATTAATTCAAGAAAAACGAAGGCATACCCGCGGATTCTGATGATAAAAAGAAGCTTGGCTTCGGGACACACATAGAACCCTCCCTTCAACCTAGCCTCGCGCTTAAGTTGAATTAGCTCCTTTTCCTATCCAAAAAATTCCACAAATTTTGCAAAACACTCCAAAAAATAAGGATCAGGCAAAATTAAAGATCTTCCAATCTTTCTCCAACCTGATTCTCGTACTCCTTCGCATACTGCTCTGCCCTCTTGAAAATTAACTTGCGGTTCTCGCGGTTCTTCTTGCGCTTCTCTTCAAGCTTCTCCTTTTTCTCTAGAGCCCACTGATCCTCTCTCTTCCGCTTCTTCAGAACTGATTCAGGGATCACGTTCTTCGCCTCCACCTCGGCCATCTCTCCCTCTGCGAAATGCAGAACAAAGCAAAACCCTAAGTTTTCTCAAATGCTAATGAAATGGAAATCCAAAAGAAGCACCCTAACGAGGAAATAGCCAAGAAAGCAAGGTTTGCGTTCTGATGCTCACCTCGCTACCTCTGTAACCGATCACGAAGTGGCGGCGAGGCTGCAGAGCTACAGCGGCCTTAGGTATTTGAGGGTTTTCCATCGCGTGAGGCTGAACCGATCCAACGATTAATTCTTCACGTTATACACAGAACAAATCTCATCCGTAGGATTTGATGAGTATTTTTAGATAGGCTATTATGTTTGTGTTTAGTATTAACATTTAAAAAAAAATTTCTCAACCATGATTTTATTCAACATTTTAAAAAGAAAATTTGTTAACTTCAATTTTAGGAAAGCGAAAAAAAAAAGTGTCTTCGATTTTCCTACTGCCATAAAAATAATAAAAATTTATCATAGTAAGGAAATAACATTTCTCATAAAATCATACAAATGAAGAAATAATAAACATCATATCTATCAGGACTTTTTTGGCTTTTTTTTTAATACGTGTGATATATCATCAAAAAATTAACTTGATTGGGCACGAATCTCTGAGCAAAATCAAGTGGGAAACTTCAAAAATTAAATCGGAAATCATTTGAATTCCAATTCAATAAACTTACAGTCGAATTGAACGTCTCAAAAATACAAACCCAACGACACCAAATTTGACTCAATCTGAGCCCAAATAAGTCCAAATCAAAGCCCCAAAGCACATTTGAAAGGTTCAGTCCATAATTTGGATTACCGAACAGTTTTCAAACATGACATGCTTATATACAAATCGAGCGGCTCGACGAGACGAATCCAACAAGCCCAAGATCATCAAATTTTGATATCAATAAGACATTCAAAGGTTTCTACCAACCTCTGACTTTTGTCCATCATCGGACTTTTGTTAGACTTCTACTCGACGTCGAACTTTCACCCGTCGTCGAACTTTCGTCATACTTCTACACGATGTTGAAATCACTGGACTTATGTCCGTCGTCAGACTTATACCGGATACCGAACTTTCGCCCGTCATTGGATTTCTACCTGACACTGGACTTCTGCCCATCAACGATCTTTCTGACCTCCTTCACTAGACAATAGTCTTTCTAATCACTATCGCCCTCCGACTACTGTCCTTCTGGCCTTCATTGCCCACCGACTACGGTCTTTACGACCTTCATCGCCTGCCAACAAAGGTCCTTCTGACCTTCATCATATGTCGACTATGGTCCTTCTGGCCTCCGTCACTAGACAACAGTCCTTTCAACCTCTATCGCCCACTAACTACGATTCTTCTAACCTTCGTCGCTAGTAAATGGTCTTTATGACCTATGTAGCCATAGAATAATCTTTATGACCTCCGTTGACTGTCAACTACGGTCCTTATAACCTCTGTCACTAGACAACGGTCCTTCCGACCTCTGTAGCCCATCGACTACAATCCTTCTGACCTCCATCGCTAGACAACAATCTTTATGACTCCGTTGTCCGCCGACTATGGTCCTTCTAACCAAACAAAAACATCAACAATGATTCTTCCTGTTTCCACCTTGAAACACTCTCTGTATGATGTATATTTGTTACATCAAGCCAGGGCATTCCCCTATATGAAGGGCCTCATTATAATCAACTACAAATATTAGTGGATACATTCAATCTGGGCTCAGCCCCACAGTTTTTCTCCTCTTTCAGAGGTTTTCCACATAAAAATATTGGTGTTTCTTATAAATGTTACACCATCTCTTTTTATCTGTATGTATGTTGAATCTTCATACAAAGCTAAGACATTAAAATTTATACTTCTCTATCACCGTGAATATTCCAGGATGTAATAATGTAGCACCATATGTGGGATCATAGTTCCCAACTAGAGGGCAATTTTCGCTTCAACCTCAAATGGTCGTTTATGTCATTGCCCTGACGTCAGTTATTGATACATCAATTTCCTAAGAATTAAATATTGACTAGGGGGAAACCTTGAGTACAACCGTGGTCAAAAAGATTCCTCCAACTCTTTTAACATCTAAGACGATATCTTGGGATCATAAAGCTTATAACAAATGCAATGATGCTTCCAATAAATTTTAAGCTTTATATAGTCCCTAGCTAGACTTCTACTCCTTAGGCAAAGTCTTAATCTCGAGCTAAAAAAGGTAGTAACATTGTAAGGATAGGTCATTCTTCACCTTTTATTCATGATACACACGGCGTTCGTGCCCTATCAATCAAGACAAAATCGATCACATGGGGATTTGATTCAACCTCTTATATATATTAACGTCATCAAGCATTGCTCTAACATACAACCTCGAATAAGTCATACATCCTTGGTGGATTATTCTAACCTCTTCTATATAGGTTAACATCATTGAGCAATGATCTGACATATAATTACGGATAGGTCATACATCCTTAGTAGATTTTCTCAAACTCTTATATATATGTTAACGTTATCGAGCAACACTTTGATATACAACCTTGAATAGGTCATATATCTTTGGTGGATTTTCTTAACCTCTTCCATATATATTAACATTATTGAGCAATGCTCTAACATATAATCTCGGATAGGTCATTCATTCTTGGTGGATTCTCTCAATATCTTCTATATAGGTTGACATCATCAAGCAGCTCTCTGACATACAACCTCGAATAGGTTATACATCCTTGGAAAATTCTCTGAACCTCTTCTATATATGGTAACATCATCGAGTAGTACTCTGACATACAATCTCAGATGTGTCATACATCCTTGGTGGATTATATTGACATCTTTCCTATAAGTTAACGTCATCGAGCAGTGCTCTAACATACAATCTCGAATAGGTCATACATCCATAGTGGATTCTCTAGATCTCTTTCATATGGTTAATATCATCGATCAGTACTCTGATATTCAACCTTAAATGGGTCATTCATCCTTAGTGAATTTTCTTGACCTCTCTTATATAGGTTAATATCATCAAGCAGTGCTTTGACATACAATCTCATATAGGTCATACATCATTAGTAGATTCTCTCAACCTCTTCTATATAGGTTAACATCATCGAGCAGTGCTCAGATATACAACCTATGATAGGTTATACATCCTTGATGGATTTTATTAACCTATTCGGCAGATGTTAATATTATCGAGCAATGTTTTGAGTGAATAATATTCTATGAGAGCAAGTGATTCATAGGGTCATCACTTATTCAAAAATCTTATAAGATTAAAAAGCCTCAAAAGGTACAGTTATACAAAGACCTTAACAAGATAAAAAGCCTCAAAAGGCACAAAATAAATTTATATTTAGCAAAATGCTAATAGACACCCACCATTATCAGCCTTTCGATTGATGTTCACTTTCGGTTCTTCAGTTCATATTAGCTCTCATCAGTTTCTCGCTCAACTACTAATAGTCATGCCCTCAAACCATCTTCTTTAGCTCTCCACCCGGCATCGACTGCCACCAAATTTCCTCCCAACCATTGATTATCATCAGACTTCCACTCGATTGTCAATCGATGTCGAACTTCCGCCCAATTCCCGATCGCCACCACACTTTTACATGGTCGTCGATTGTCGCTAGATTTCTACTTAAACATCATCAAAATTCTTCCTATATACTGAGAATTATTGCTTCTCCTCTCGAGTACTATTACCGTCATATCTTCTCATATCACCCTCGTATGCAAGATGTGTTTGATCTTCATCTGTCAAGAACAATTTCATCGTGAGTTCTTCTATATAAAAGAGATGTATTAAAGCTTGATAGGGGATACCACCTATCTAAAATAGTGGAATGTTTCTAATGTAAGAAATGAAAGTTCGTTAGGGATGTTAAGCCCTATAGAACTGGCCCAAGCTAACCAAGAGGGGGGGTGAATTGGTATTTTTAAAAAATTCTTTTCACAAAGAATAAAAATTGCATAAACCAAAATCACACCACAAAAATAAATGCGGAATTAAAAGTGCGGAAGCAAGAAATAAGAACACATAAATTTATAGTGGTTCGGTTAACTCGACCTAAGTCCACTCCTTGGAGGTACCCTCCAAGTATTGCACTACAAAACGTGACTCTCCTTTAGCCCCCACGGTTAGGCGGAGAAGCCCTCACAAGAACCTCATTTTTGCCACCCCGGCAAGACAAAGAACATATCTCCTTTAGCTTCCTCCTAAAGCTCGCAGAGAACCACAACCAAAAGCTAACTCCTTACCTATACCGACCCTTCCACGGACGAGAAACTCTAGAGGTGTTAGATTACTAGAAAAACTAGGTATACAATGCATGGGAATCATGTCTTTACTGCCAGACTGAATAGCTTAGAAACAACAAATCAACAAAAATAATTACATTAGCTTTTGATCTAATGATATTTAATAGTCTTTGGTTACAAGAAGATTAGGAGCAAATCAATACCAAGTTAAAAAAATATCTATTCTATTTCACAATGAGGAGAAACATAAGGAATCATTTACAAATTTCTTGAAAAATGATAGAGGTACGAACCTGTCTCAGACGCAAAAGCTGCAAAATCTTCTTAGTCTTCGGGTGCATAGCATTAATACTACACGTCATCAATTAGAGGAATGAGTTTTCAAACACAATATATGTTAAAATACTCTGTAGCATAAATGATTCATACTAAAAGATAAAGAAGAAGAAAATTCGACACAATGGCAAAGTTATCATCTGCTTATTGTCATCGTTGAGAATAATGTCAATTAGCCAAATAAGAGATTATTTAGATCACATGGACGGCAAATTAATTCAAGGAAAACGAAGGCATACCCGCGGATTCTGATGATAAAAAGAAGCTTGGCTTCGGGACACACATAGAACCCTCCCTTCAACCTAGCCTCGCGCTTAAGTTGAATTAGCTCCTTTTCCTATCCAAAAAATTCCACAAATTTTGCAAAACACTCCAAAAAATAAGGATCAGGCAAAATTAAAGAGCTTCCAATCTTTCTCCAACCTGATTCTCGTACTCCTTCGCATACTGCTCTGCCCTCTTGAAAATTAACTTGCGGTTCTCGCGGTTCTTCTTGCGCTTCTCTTCAAGCTTCTCCTTTTTCTCTAGAGCCCACTGATCCTCTCTCTTCCGCTTCTTCAGAACTGATTCAGGGATCACGTTCTTCGCCTCCACCTCGGCCATCTCTCCCACTGCGAAATGCAGAACAAAGCAAAACCCTAAGTTTTCTCAAATGCTAATGAAATGGAAATCCAAA